ACCCCACTCACACATGAAAACAAAGATCATCACAGCCAATCACAAACAAACAACCACACCCTAGGCCAACCCCAACCTCTCTCACCACCAAAGAAACACAAGTGAATATATGGGGACCCACAGGTTGAGAACCACTGATCTAAAGGGTTGCAGATTCCCTACTTTATATCAACGGCTGACCATTCAGCTTCTGACAGTTAACCCTAAAGAAAGCCCCTGTTGGTAAATTTTCTACAGACATATTTACTACCATGTCTAAGAACTATTTTCTAGAATACATCCAAAAGTGGTGCCTTGGGTTTGTTCCTCCTCTGTTGTTTCCTAGTAGCGGTTTCTCCATCTCCACATGGGTTTTGTCCTGCCTTACTTAAAAAAAAGGGGAACTGAGTGACGTAGTCTTTGCAATAATTGCACACTTCATGGAAACAGAAGTTGAGCAACTTCTCTAATAAATTGACTTGGTTTCCTCTTTCAGCTTCACTAGGCTTGCTTTTATCTTGACCGTACACAAAATAGTTCTTTTTTTTAAAAAAAAGAATCCATATCTTGAAGGTTTCAGTTCAATTCCTGTGAGTCGATAAGAGAGAAGGAGAAACTCCTCACTGTGTTCTGGGTCCTGGAAAGCCCCCAGAGCAGCTCAGGAGCTAAGAATAGGCCTTCGGTCAGTGTTTGTAAAGTCTGCAGTTCCTTGTTGTTTTTTCCAAAAAAAAGTGCTGATCTTATAAGGTTGAGGCAAGTTTGTGGCTGCTCTGAATGATGTTGTGTGTGGGTTGTGTTTTCCCCGCCTGCTTGCCTCTGTCACCCAGCAAAACAGATCAGTAGGATGTCTGAAGCAGAAAGATAACAGTAGCCTGGGCAAGACTCCGGTAGCTTTTGGATAGCTTTGTCGGCCCTTCCCTCATGGTTTTTCCTTTGCCAAGGATCTTCCTTTGCTCAGCATTGAAGCTTAGACTACTATGAGAAAGAAGAGAGTGCTGGAACCAGATGAACACTGGAAGGTATGGTACAATGATTGGTGCAAACCGGCCTTTCTTGGGGCACAGCTGTATGAGATACCTCTGTAGAATCAACAGGATTTTTAGCTTTCATAAGTTTTGAGCTGGAACTTCAACACTTGAAGAGATAGCTTAAGAGCTATTTCACTCCTGCATGAAAGTGGGATTAATACAGTGAGATAGGAAGGCTAACCTTGTGATCAATACACAATGGAATCAGCGTATAATGTATACTAAGTCACTGGTTTAGAAGTAAGGAAACAGGGTTGTGGCTAGTGCCAGTACCAAGCAAAATTGGGCAGCCGCCCAGGTGCATGGATGATAAATGGGCCCCTTAAGCTGAGTCCAAGACCTGGCACAGTCCTTAATTAACCACCTCCTTGCTTTCCCAGCACCAGTAGAGGAGTGGGGATCTGCAGTGGTCCAGCTACTGTGACCTTGGACAGGTATTTTAAGATAGTGCCTCCCAATTTATGGAAAACTAACATACCACAGCTGCAACATCATTCTAATATAGGGGTGCTAAAAATTGGGGTTCTGTTTTCCCACTTAAAGCAACTTGTCTGAAAATGGTTATTGTGGGTGTTACTAACAACTTTCACTTTTAGTTCTGGTGAAATTACACGTTTCTTTCGAAGAATATTTTGACTGGAAGCAAGGGGAGTAGAACTTTGTTCTATTCTGTTATGTCTAGTACCTTCTGTAATACGACTCCTAACATTGCCTCATTTTTTAAGCTACTCCTGCAAAGTATTATATCATTTGGAAAGGGAGACTTGTTGTAGTCTGTAGAAGTATATTAGGCAGTGCCTATCCATTCATAGTTGTTGTTTAATCCTCTGTGTGTATATATAATTTATTTAAGAAAAGCAAATATATATGTATAATATAATCTCATTTATTTAAGGAAAACAGAGTCAAACTCCTTCATGGCAAACATCAGTAATCTCCATTCAGCCTGTCCTGTCTCCTGTCAAGGCTTGTTTTGATTTGGATATGAATTTCAGTTGCCACATCTCTTGAAGGCAAAATGGATGAAGTCCTTTTGTTACTATGCTGAAAAATTATAAGAATTGAAAAGGCACTGAATTGTACTACTTCAGTTTACAACTTAGGAAGAGATTTACAGGCAGGTATAATATCTGCCATTAAACTGCAGTTACCACATGTCTGAATGAAATAGCTCCTAGGGTTTTAGCTGTGCTGGTCCTCAAGCTGGGTAGAAAACTTTGTAGGGAGAAAAACTAGAGAAGCCTTTGCTCTTTGTTTGATGGGAGTTATAGTCTAAAACATCTGGTGTGATCTCAATCTCCCATCCAACCATTCATTTTGAGCGCCTAAACAAAACTTACATGATGAAGTAGACTCTAGTTCATGAAAACTTATGTTGTAATAACTTTGTTTGTCTTTAAGGTGTCATGAGACACATCTCTTGTGTTTGCTGCAACCATGACACCATGATAATGGGAACAAATGATGGCTATAATAATAATAGTAAGAACTTTATTATTTATACCCCACCCACCTGGCTGGGTTTCCTCAGCCACTCTGGGTGGCTTACAGAATATATAAGGGCAAAGGGACCCCTGGCCGTTAGGTCCAGTCGCAGACGACTTTGGGGTTGTGGCACTCATCTCGCTTTACTGACCGAGGGAGCCAGTGTATAGCTTCCAGATAATGTGGCCAGCATGACTAAGCCACTTCTGGTGAACCAGAGCAGTGCACGGAAATGCCGTTTACCTTCCCGCCGGAGCAGTACCTACCAGTATTTGTCTATTTGCACTCTGTGCTTTCGAACTGCTAGGTTGGCAGCAGCAGGGACCGAGCAACGGGAGCTCACCCCGTCATGGGGATTCAAACTGCTGACCTTCTGACCGGCAAGCCCTAGGCTCTGTGGTTTAATGTCTTCTACAGAATACACACACACACACACACACACACACACACACACAATAAAACATCAAGCATTAAAAACCTCCTGATAAAGGGCCACCTTCAGATGTCTTCTAAAAGTTGTATAGTTCTTTAACTCCTTGACATCTGAAGGGAGGGTGTTCCACAGTGCGGGTGCCACTACCAAGAAGGCCCTCTGCCTGGTTCCCTGTAACTTCCCTTGTTGCAGTGAGGGAACTGGCAGAAGACCCTTGGAGGAGGACCTCAGTGTCTGGGCTGAGTGATAGGGGTGGAGATGTTCCTTCAGGTATACTGGACTGTATATATCTCTGATCAGGCAAACCAGACATTGCATTTGTATGTAGGAACAAATCTGGGATGGCTGGGACTGTTGTTGTGGACAAAACATTTATGAGTTAAGTCTCCACTTCTTCTACGTTGAAAGCCTTTCTGTCACTGTAGTCTAGTAACAATGGTTCATGGGCCACCAGAGGCTCTTCCATGAAAGCAGTATGAAAATACTGTACACAGAGTCTACAGAGTCTAAGAACATCAGGCCAATGTTAAGCAGGCTTTACAAAACCCATTAACTACAGCCTATATGTGATTATCAGCTTTCTGTCATTCTAGTCTCAGGGGATGGCCTGCAGACTTACATTTCTGCTGAGCAAAATCAAGAGACCGGGGAGCATTATTAACCAAACCCTGAAGAGTATCCTGAGGTGCTCTCTGGTCCTTTCACCTCTACTTATGACACGGTACAAAGTTTGGCTCTTGCCTTTACTTTCTCATTTCCCTTACTCAAGTGGTATGATAGGCTGATTCTCAAAGGGCCATGAGTCAGGATTCCTGAGTTCTGTTTTGTTCCGATGCCCTGAGGAGGAAAAATAAGTCAAGGGCACAATTCACAAATTTATCAACACAACATCAGTGGAAATATACTATGAAAGTCCTTAAGGCAGGGTGGACAACCTGTATGCAGAAGGGTACATGTAGCCCTTAGCCTAATTTCATGCTGGGGAAATGAGGGAAATGGGGTGGCAGAAGGAGAGGAAGAAAGGGGGGGGTGCCATGCTCAGATTTTGCTCAGGCCCTGCCCACCACCAGCATGCGTCTCCTGACAGATTACTCCCAAGGGAATGAGACTACAGACTGACAAAATGTTCCCTGCTTCCCATTAAGGCTTCCAGATTTTGTGTACAAAGATAACAGACATTCCACAGTAAGACCACTGTTCCATTCCTTCCATCAATAGGAACCACAGACAACTGAGGATGGAAGTCTCAAACTGAAAAAATGGGTTGTTGTTTTTACCTGAATCTTCAATAATTCTGATGGGATTTGAACTAGTTTTACTCTTTTTAAAAAAGCCATATGGCTCTGTTGTCTTGCTGTAATACAAAAATATTCTATATTCCATATTTCCAAATGCATGAAAAAGGGAAATATGATAGACTTCAGGATATGCCCTTCCCTCAGGTACAGTGGTGCCTCGCAAGACAAAATTAATTCGTTCCGCGAGTTTTGTCGTCTTGCGATTTTTTTCGTCTTGCGAAGCACGGCGTCGGGAAAGTTTTGGAAAAGCTTCAAAAACCTCAAAAAGCTTTAAAAACCTCAAAAAAGGCTACCACACCGCGTTCTATGAGTTGCTCCTCGAAGTCAAGTCGCAACTGTATTAACGGTGTTAAGAAAAAGGAAACAAACTTGCAAGACTTTTCCGTCTTGCGAAGCAAGCCCATAGGGAAAATCGTCTTGCGAAGCAGCTCAAAAAACAAAAAACCCTTTCGTCTAGCGAGTTTTTTGTCTTGCGAGGCATTCGTCTTGCGAGGTACCACTGTAACTTCAAAATGGCATCTGTATTGAGAGTTTGGTAGCAGGCATATTTAAATCCATTTTACCAATGAATTGGTAATTGAAAGCCAGATGATCAGTTAAAACTCTGTGATACGGTGACCGTCACCTGAGTTCTCATATCTTTTTCTTCTAGCTGTTTTTGGTAGTTCATCACCATTTCTCTCTCTCATGCCATCATGTGTTGTCTCGGGGAATGACATTATTTAACAGAGCCTTTTAACTCAAGTCTCTTTCTGTGCTCTTTCTCCTCTCCCACAGTTGGATAAAGGGGATGTGAGCCAAATCAGCCTGCCTTCCAATACAAGCCACGGTGATGCTGATGGCAACTTCTGCCTTGACGTTCCAGATGGCAACCCAGACCCGCAGAGGACAAAGGCTGCCATTGACCACCTGCACCAGAAGATCCTCAAGATCACCGAGCAGATCAGGGTTGAGCAAGAGGCACGAGATGACAATGTGGCTGAGTACCTGAAGCTAGCTAACAACGCCGACAAGCAGCAGGCCTCTCGTATCAAACAGGTCTTTGAGAAGAAGAACCAGAAGTCAGCCCAGACCATCGCGCAGTTGCACAAGAAGCTTGAACATTATCACAAAAAGCTAAAGGAGATTGAACAAAATGGGCCCTCTCGACAGCCCAAAGACGTCTTCCGGGACATGCACCAGGGCCTCAAGGACGTAGGGGCCAATGTCCGCTCCAGCATCAGTGGCTTTGGAGGCGGAGTGGTGGAGGGTGTCAAAGGTGGACTCTCAGGCCTTTCTCAAGCCACCCACACAGCTGTGGTCTCCAAACCCCGAGAGTTTGCAAGCTTGATCCGCAACAAATTTGGCAGCGCGGATAACATTGCCCACTTGAAGGACACGCTGGAAGATGGGCACCCTGAGGAGGCCTCACGGACTCTGAGTGGCAGCGCCACTCTGGTTTCTAGTCCCAAATACGGCAGTGACGATGAGTGCTCCAGTGCCACTTCTGGCTCAGCAGCAGGTAGCAACTCGGGGGCGGGGGCGGGTGGCTTGGGCAGCCCCAAGTCTAACACCTTGGACAGTCACCACTATAATTTTGAGACCATCATAGAAGAACTGAGGGAGATTAAGGACATTCAGTCCCACCTTGAGGACTCCATGGAAGACCTCAAGGCCCAGCTGCAGCGAGACTATACGTATATGACTCAGTGCTTACAGGAAGAGCGTTATAGGTAAGACTTGTTGGGTGTGCTGCTGTTAATTCCCAGTGGGAAACTGTCACACTTAACCACCATATTTAATTGTCGTTGGCTTGTGGAACTGGGCATGCTGGCCAGTCTTTATGTTGTGGCTCTTGAAGGGTCATGCTGTGGGGTACAATAGATGAAGATGCTGGCAAATAATGGAATTAGGCTTTATGTTCCTATGCAAAGAAACAAATTGACAGTGAATTTCCCTTTAGAAGAGGCTGTGGCAGAGAAGGGGAGATGAGATGCTGCAAATCATATGGCAATGAGGGAGGAATTCAGCCTATGACCTCAATCCAGTCAGTTATTTAGCAGCCACATAGGATTCTGGGATATCAGAACCAGCCATGCAGCATGGACATTTGCTTTCCATTTCCTAATTTCCCCCCAGTCACTGCTATTCCTTTCTCCTGCAAAGTTCTGTTTGCTTTGGCCACAGTCCTGTGCACAATTACCTGGAAGCAAGCTCCACTGAGAACAGTACGTATTTCTTTATTTTTAAAAATAGCTATCCACTTTTCTTTATAAATCCAAAGTGGCAACTTACAGGATAACACAAACCAAACAACAACCTAGCACTAGAAACCGTATAGAAACAATAACAGATAACACCTAACACAATTATATGCATGTGATAACACTTGTTATCCTTCAAGAAAGTAATTTTGCTTGTTATCCTTGCATGTTTACGTAGAGAGAGAGCCAAACAGAAATTTGTCTCCTTTTTTCTAAGCCAATAATAATTTTGCGGTGGAAGGCCAAAGCTTTTGGATTTATGTTCTTTAGTTGAATTTAGGCTCCCATTTAGTTGCAAACCAATATGCCTTAATTGCTATAGCAACCATGAGTATGCATGCTTGTTCAGGAAATGTCTGAATTTCAAATGGGGGGGGGAGTTGAATTTTAAATAAGTGATTCAAATAAGTCCTCCTTCCTGGTGATTTAAATCATGATTTAAATCCTGCCTAGCTGTCACTAGCTTTGAAGATGTCTGCTGGAATTTCCTGTACTGTAAGTTCTCCTCAAGAAGAAAGACACTGCTCTATTAACTGCTTCTATTTATAAGACACAAGAGGAAATGCATTCCTGGCTGAATGCTCAGTGCCAGCTTCTTGCTTCTCTTCCACCGGTGGAAAAATAAGGACCAAGAACTCTTTTGCCCGTGGGCTTCATTAAAATTGTAGGCAGTGAGGAAAGAATTATGTTTCCATTTTTTGTGAGAGAAGGGTCATAGGCTCAGTCCTGGGATGACACTTGCATGCAGTTGCTATGTTTATGGTTCTCACAGATGTGGGGAGCAGAAGTCTCTTGCAGGCTTATGGTCCCAACCAGCTCTCATGTCTAGGGCTGGTTAGGGCGGGGGTGGAGAAACCGTGATCCTCCCAGATGTTGCTGGACTCCAGCTCCCATTAGTTCCAGCCACCTTAGCCCAATGGCCAGGGATGATGAGAAAGGTACTTGAGCAACATCTATGGAACCACTCATTCTGCATCCCTGGTCTAGGGGTATGGCTCTTCCTCAGTGTCAGAGGTCTCTGGTTCAAAGCCCAGACAACTGTGCTGGGGGCATGGAGAGAAGGAGGCTGGTTGGACTTTTGGGGAGATGATGTAGGTCAGTGAATGAGCACTTGCCTTGCAGGCAGAAGGTCCCAAGGTCAATCTCTGGTATCTCTACTAAGTAGCAGAGCTGAGAAAGACCGTGAGTCCTAGGTGAGCTGCTGCCAGCCAGAGTAGACAATTCTGGAGTAAATGGACATATAGCCAGACTTTGTATAAGGCATCTTCCCACATAATCCAGTCACCATAGAATAAATAGCACACAGTCTCTGTGAGTGCTTTCTCAGTGAAGCATCTCCCAATTTTCTGAGAAGTGTCTCACAGGGCCAGTTTCCTATTAGGATCAGCCAAGGCTGCATGCCGTCATCCCAGATGGCCATAACAAATCTGCAGGCAGGTTACTGTATGCATCAGTTTTCCACATTGGTCCAATCCTACTACTGAAATCACACTTACCTTTTGCCCCACTATTTCCAGGCAGATGTCCACACTTTAACACTACATGTCCGATGAATTTTTTAATTTTCTTTTGCCCTGAGCTTTTCCTGTGAAAGCCTGCTCTTTAAAGCCAAATTGGAGCAAACAGCAAACAGCAAGGTTTTCTGCAGGTTGATGTTTGCTCCAACTGAGCTTTAAAGAGCAAGTTTTCACACAGAAAGCTCTGCAGCAAAAAAAGAAAAGAAAAGAAAAATGGTGCTCGGACACAAAGCTTTAGATTGCAGACCATGCCTGGAAAGAGTGGAAGAAAGGTAAGTATGGATAAGCCTTCAGTGTGAACACAGTGCATTTCACGCAACCAGCTGTACATACAGTGAACATGCCCAGAGAAAGCAAGGTTGCAGTGGCAAATCCTACCTCAATTTGCTGGACCTTACAATCTTCATGTGCATACAAAGTGGATGGTTACAGTTTTCCTGCATGCAATTGGGGCTGTGCAGGGCCCCATACCACACTTATCTTCCCTTTGTATATGCATAGAGATTGTACAGACAGTCTAGTGCAGTGTTCCTCAACCTCAGGTTCCTCGTATTTATTAGACTACATCTCCCATCACCCCTGACTATTGGCAAAGTTAGCTGAGGATGCTGAGAGCTGTAGCCCAACATCTGAGGACCCAAAGCTGAAGAATACTAGTCTAGTGAGCATATGTAGGTCAAGGAGGGGCTCATCACCACGAGCCCTCTTCTCCCCACATGCATTCACTAGATGTGTGTTTGATTGTTTGAAGTGCTTATCTGTGTCCTCATTTATTTTGGATGTCCATTTTGTCCTACACTGGTGTTTGATGCTCCCCACCCCCTGCCGTTTGGGGTTTTTTTTCCAGAAGCTGGAAAATATCTCAAAATATCCTGGAAGGCAATTATCAGTGACAGCAGGGATGGAAACAAAACTCATTGTTCCCAAAGGCAGGATTGTTTCAGAAGAGACACACAGCCCCCTTCTCATTTGTTTTCCACTCACCCACATGTATCCCATTTGAAGGGCTGAGAAAAACCTTTAGATTGCAACTGAATAGTGACCACCAAACCAGGAAAGAGGTGGGGAGAAAAGAGGGAGGAACTGCAGGTGTTCCAGAGAGAGAGAGAGATTTATTTCAGGCCTGACAAGTTCTGAAATAATCCTTCATCCAAGCCACATTTTCAGTGGCAGCTTCCACCAGATGCATAAACCACTAATGCAGGTGTGAGGAACATTTGGTCTCCACATGTTGCTGACATACAACTACCACCCCTTCCCATTGGCACTGCTTGCTGGCATTGATAGAAGCTGTGGTTCAGCAACATCTGGAGGGCCAAAGGTTCCCTCACACCTACACTACAGTAACTCTTATAGAATAGGTTATCCACTTGATAGAAATTGCTGTTCAAAACATGCCTTCCAGGGAAAGAATTATTCTGAAGTACGTTAGACCTGAAATATTTTTTTCTTTAAGCCCCACAACTTTTTCCCTCATCTCCCCCTCACCCCCAAAGCTGAATGACATTTATTTGGGAATCAACTCCGCTAAATGCATTGGGACTTATTTCTTTATCTAGCTATCTATCAGTTATAAGTTTTTGTAATACAACGCTTCAAACATATTTCCAGCTTTGTTTACCAAAAGAAAATAACACAATAAAATGTGAGTAACAAAGGCATAATAAGGCCAGTACAATCCTTATTAGTTCCTCAATAACTAATGGAGTTGGGTGATGTACAGCGTAATAATAAAAACTCTGAAACCTTAAATACAAAATAACAGTTCTAAAAAGAAGCATTAAACCATCTATATCAGGGGTCAGCAACCTAAGGCCCATGGGCCAGAAGTGGCCTGTGGAGGTTGTTTGACCGGCCCACAAGCCGCCCCCAAACCGAGCCACCCGCTTGTGCTGCACTAAACCAGCGCAGCACGGGGACTTGCTCCTGTTGTGCTGAAAATTGCGTCAGTGCACGCACAGACGCTGAAAATCGTGGGCATGCGTGCTCACACACATACGCGATCTGGCCCACGGAGAGATCTCCGTGGGACCGATCCTGCCCAGGCAAGATAAACCTTGCTGACCCCTGATCTATATGAAACTTAGTGGAAACCAAAACTCTACCAGCAGCACACAATTTCAGCTTAGAGCAGCCTGCATCAACCTGGTGCCCTCCAGATGCATTGGATTGTGCTGAAGACAACTCATGTATATATAAAAGAGCACATAACCTTAGGCAGTGCCCTAGAAACAGTCCTCCTTGCTTCAGGTGGTTGAACCATGTCCATCTACCCATCAGCTGGTATCACTGGTGGCGTCAACTGTTGGTTGGGAAGGCAGGGTTAAATCTCATATTGACTGCACACACCTACAGAACAGGCTCCTGCAGCCAAAGCAGCAAGATTTAATCCCCACTCATCAGCTGATGATCGGGGTTAAATCCTGCACAGTTTTAAGCAGTCCAGCAATCTGGTTTGAGCCTCTGATTTTCAGCAGCTCAAAGAAGAGAGGAGGGGGCTGGCTGAAAGCCCTTTACAAAAGGGTCTCATCTTGAGCGGGGGAGCTGCAGGTTGCTGTTTGTGACAAACACCATATGTAGGATTGATGCCCTCTGCTTTCAGATGATAGAACCACTGATAGAAATTTGGCCACCACCAACTGGGGATGATTGGAGTTGTAGTCCAAAATATTTTGAGGGTCTCTGGATGGGGAAGGCTGCCTTAAAGCATACTGCACGGGGCACAGGAATGAGATGTTAAGAAACAAAGCATTGCAAGTAATCATTTAGTTGTACTTAGGACAATAAGCCTAACAAAATGTTCAGTGAAATCTGATGTCTTCTTAGATGGCCTCCTCAATAAGATGAGGTGATGGGATATGGTTCCATGAGTATCAATGTAACATTCAGGACATGTAGCCCTTTGGCTGGTTTACCCAGAGGTAATCATCACAATAGCTCTTCAGAGGGGCA